AGGACTAAACAAGATGCTTCTTGCTCCAACTATAACCATGGTCTACATGGAGAAGTTAGGTTCAGTCTAGGTCTGTGTTCATTGTGGAGGTCAGAGGGGGGAGGGCTGTGCTTGAACCAAGCTCTTTCTCTACCTCTTCCCTAAAACCCTCCAGGGCAAGCGTAACCAAAGTCCCCTGCTGCTACAACTGTTAGAGTCAACTCGGAAATGCAAAGGCAAGTAAAGGGGAGGGGAGACTGGGGAGGAAAGAGGGGTAAGAAGGTGGTATAGGTGACCTGCTGCCTTAGCCACTGTTGCCCATGTAGAATCTATTCGGTTTCCAAGCAGCTACTCAGAAGCATTTTGTCTGAGATGGCAGCATGGCTTTCTGAGCCTTCTGTGGCTCAGAAGAGGCAGATGTTCTGCAAGTCTTTGAGGCTTAATGCATATATTATATTGTTTGTCAGTTTGTGGTATCCTTTCAGGCTTTGTGGTTATGGGTTCCTCCAGCAAGGCCTATTTTATTTAGCATTCAGCATATTAATTGCACATAAACCTTCGTATCTGCAGCTCCTACAGCAGGCATCTCTCTGAAGAAGCCTTAAGATGTCATAATATTTGAAAGAGAAAAATGTGCATTTTTTTGCTAGCACCTGTAATTTATGTAGCAAAATAATTGGGTAGGAAGCATCTCTTATCTCTTATGGAATCTGATATGAAAGACAGTTACAGCTTTTCAAACCTGGCTAAAACTATGAATTATCCTACAATATTTGGATGGATCTAATTTAGGCAGCTGTCAGACAGAAATATTTTAGGTTCTGCATATTAGTAACACTTGCAGAGGGGCTGTGGCTGTTTTCAAAGACCTTTTTGTTGCAGGAAATGAGGAGAACTCACTTTGCATGGTAACTACTGTGGAGATGTTTGAACAAATAAATTGCTTGCATGAAACAATTATTCCTAACAGAGAGAAGGAGAAGTTTGGATGGACTTTAACAATTTTTACAGCATCCTTGTGAGAGGCATATCAGAAACTGTAGGAGGTCTGTTATTTTTAATGTTGGTTTGCTGCTCAAGTTACTGTAAGAATTACTCCTTTCCATTGCAGAAGCATTGGGGGTATGGGTGTGCGAGTTTTATTTTATCTTATTTTCTGTGTGAAGGACACATTCAAAAAACTTGGAAGAACCTTTAGTAATCATGTTACATCCCTGTTAACCAACAAAGGCTGTAAGGACCTTCTATAAGACAAATCACAATTAAAACTAAAGTATCAGTTGGGAACTGGGCTATAATTCTGGCTAGCGTTTATCCTGTCTTTTCATATGGTACAAATCCTTCCTATTTATAAAGACTCTGATTCTCTGGCTGGAGCTTTAACATTCTGCTTAGTGTTCATTTTATTTGGTTTGATGCTCACCCATTGTATTTTGGACGAGTTTGTTGTTATGCTTTGCCTGAGCTGAACTGCTCCACCTGATGGTGAAACCAAGACAATGCTGTCTCTCACGCAATGAGGATTAATTCGAAAAAATGTAACCTAGTGGAAGCACTTAATGCTGTAAGGGTATGCATGCCTTAATCTACCAGGCCTACTAATAATGTTCTGCCCCCTTTATATTTAGATGTAGAGCAGTTAAGATTATGTAAAGGAGTTGCACGAAGATCTTGTATCCAGAGTTTTCTTCCATGTTTCTAGTGAGAGATCCAGTGGGTGGGTGCTTGTACTGTAGACAGTTGCTTCTCAAAGTCCAGATGCTGCCAAAACCTGAGATGCAGCTGTGCTTTGCAGGACCTACATACCTGAAAGGAGTTGTTCCTGCTCATGCACAAAAAGGGAAGTGTGGCTGCTTGATAGCTGTTGATTTGGTCATGTTCTTATTGCCCAATGTGGAAATACTTAATGGTTGAGTATGTTGGGTAGAAGAGCTTGCCTATATGATATTTTCTATCTCAAGTCCATTTAGTTGCACAGAAAAGGAGGTAAAAACTAAAGAACTCTGAAAGAAACAACCTACTTACAGGAAAAAATTTAAAAGGCTCTCTTGTAACATTGAAAGAGAAATAATCACATATATCTGTGCAAGCAGCAAAGAAACAGGAAGCATAACAGAGCTGCACATCCACAAGTCTTTTAGTTTGCCCAGATTTTTGCAATGCAATAGTCTATAAATGCATACTACAATAAATTCGCTCTGGTACCTTTCATGTTGCCCTAAGCTATCAGAGTATTTTCTGTGTGATAGCAAGATCTTTCATCTCTGGATGGTCATGTCATCAGCCAGGAAAGCAAAAGGTATGATTTGCTATCTTGAGCTGATGTGGCTGGGATGAAGGATGGATCCTGTATGGAAGGATGCTTATATGTAACAGCACATGCAAAAGACCTTCTTTAAAATATTTGAGCGTCTTAGGGCCAAGATTTACGGTGCTACTGAGGAGGTAATGTGAGATCTGAACCCCTGAGCACAAGCTGAGCACAAGTTCAGCCTGCGCTCTGGCAAAAGCTATTTGTGTAAGGTCATGGTGCACTAACCAAAAATCTCTGTGAACAGGCAGGTTGCTCTAATTCATGCTGTGAAACTTTGAGGAACCTCTTTGTTGTATTCAGTTTTCATAACCTCTATAAAAAATTGCAAATTTTAAGCTGTTCCTGTAGTTTTGTCCTTCACTTGTATTAACCATATACACTTGTATTGCCCAAAATGGTGTGTACAGACCTTTTTTTTCTTTCTCTCTCAGACACCCTGGCTCTGGAATACCAGACAGTGCTGGAATGGGTATCCATATCAGGTAAAAGTTACAGTGCTGCCTAAAACCAAACACAACACCTCTGCAGAGCTCTGTTTTTATTATGGTGGAGCTTTGTGTCAGTATGTTAGTGTGAATGGGCTACTTGGCACGTCAGAACATTGCTAGATGCTCCCCATCCTCAGATTCAGCGGGTTGGGAGAAACTGGTATAGTTCTCGTAGTTGTTATACTACATACAGTTGTTTGAGTTCAGGATGGAAAGGATGAATATAGCTGTCACAGCTGTTTTGAGATGAAGCACAGGATCTGAAGACAGATCTGGGAAATCTAACTGTGAAAGCAGACATCTGCAACAGTGACAGAATGGTCATTTTTTACAAAGGTCTGAGGATACTGAAAGTTTTAGCAAAGCCTCAGATTCAGCGGGTTGGGAGAAACCGGTATAGTTCTCGTAGTTGTTATACTACATACAGGGTGAAACTTAATCCCTGGCAGTTGGTGTGATCAAAGAGGAGACTAAACAGAGAAGGTAGGTTTCTCCTTTAGGTACTGAAATAGGGGCTTGTCCAGTCCTGGCCTCATGGAAGCTTACAAGAAAAGAAGGTAAAATTAATGAGAGAATTGAGAATGGTTTCAAGTCTTTATTTTCAGCAATGTCTGTATTTTCATGGATTCAAAAAGCATCAGCCTTTCTCTCTGTTCTAGTTCAAAGTATATAACTTACCTTCAAAGAAAAGACTTTGGTCATTTATCTCCTTTACTAAGGAGAAGAATGCCACTGTTGAAGTAAAAATGCCCTTTCAGGTTGTGTCCTGCTGCACTCATTCTCTCTTTCAGTCCTCCAGAAAAATTTTGCTCAAGTTTGGAATTCGGTTTCCTTAAAACAATCTGCAAGAGAACAATAACAGTATATTTATTCCTTGCTGCACTGCTAGGGTTTTAACTAGTTCCAGGAATACTTAATTCCCAGGTCCAAGTGCTGGCCATCTTTCACAGCAGCACAGTTGCTTCAACAGCATGCATGTGCTGCAATAACACTGGGATTAACTGTAGCCTTACAACTCCAGAAACTATTCTCTGCCAGGGGAAGAAGGAGCAGGACAAGTGAAAGGAGAAGGGCAGAAATTTTATCTGTCTTTATCTGAATGAACAGTGGCTTCCAAAGTTTGCATACCCAAAGAGCTTTGAGAAATGTCTCCTGTGCTTTCCATTAGTTTGTACTACTGGGCGTAGCTGTTAAACTATGGGACGTATTTAAACAGAGCAGTCAACCTGCTCTAAAGGATTCAATGTATTTTTCAGAAAAGAACTCTGCTTTGGCTGTACCACTGCCTCATTGTGCCTCCTGGTCTGACAGAAGTAACTTTCAACATGGATGTTGTGAGGATCAGTGAATTAATTAAATGCTCCCTTTTCATATTATTAGTAATAACATAAGGGTAGCCCTTTTGAGTTAGAGGTATATACCATCATGTCCATTGCTAGGCTAAGAGCCACCTGCTTCCTTAATACCCTTTGTATAACAGGAGGCAACAAGAGACTAAAGTTGTGAAGTATGATTTTTCCTTTTGTTATAAATCAGAGGTAACAAATGTTTCAAATGTAACCTAGTAAGATGGTCTTAAAATTTGTAATAACTTTTGATGATAACTTTTGGTAGCTTTTTTAATTAGTCTCAATTCTGATTCTAAACCTGAGCTTCTTTAAAATGCTTTTTTTTTTTTTTTTTTTTTTTTTTAAATTCAGCATCCAGGAGTCTCAGTAGGGGTCACTGAGACATTGTGCTAGCTGCTATCCAAGTATAATTGACATTGAATTCCAAAAGCTCCATCAAAGAGTTTGCAATTTAAGGAGTCTAATCTACCTGGGGCATATTGCTTTTTTTTTTTTTTTTTTTTTTTTTTTCCCCCCCCCTAAAGGGCAGGGAGGGGAAAAAAAAACCCCTCATTGACGGACTGGAAAGTATGAAGAAGAGTATTGTCTGAAAGACACATTAATTCCCTGTAACAGTGAACAGCCCTGGACAGGCAAACTGTGTTCCAGTTTAGGTGCTGCTGTTCTTGAAGGTTGTGTACCTGTTGGAAAATAGTCCAGTGGAGATAGTTCAGCAAGAATGACCAGAAATCTTGATCTGAGAAAGGTTGAATAAATTTGGTCACTTAGCCTCAGAAGAAATAATGACTTAAATTCCACCCAAGGACTGAAGGGTGTACTGAGTAACATTAGAGAAGCAGCAGAAGAAACTGAATGGGGGAAGTGTTGAATCTTCATCCCTCAGATTTTAGGAACAGTTGTTTGTCAGAATTGGTATGGCTGCAGTCACTGGTCCCTTTCAGTCCTGTTTTCTACCATTTTTGTGTTATTACATGCAAGAAGAGATTTACTTCTGATGTAAGACCATGAATCTTACTGGTTAAAGACTGTATATTTACCAGATTCATCAGAAGAACAAGGTCATTCAGAAAGTTATTTACAACTTTTAGAGGGTGGCAACTAAACTTACTACATCTAAAATCATGCTACAAGTGGAGAGGGTCCAACAGAAAGCAAAACATCAAATAAAAGTCATTATCAAAATCATTGTCTCAGAGATAAAAATATCTACTGGGTGCTAATCTGGATTAAGTACTGGGTTTTCAATTTTCTTTCTTAACTAGATAAAATTTCTGATCTCTTGTTTTCTATGAATCCTTTGTAAGTTACTCAACACAACATTGCAGAAATCCAGCTGTGGATATAGTCAAATGGATCATTTGGGTGACAACTCTACCCATAAGCACAGAATAGTCCTACTGAAGTTAAGTCTATTGAGAACTGAAACCTAGCATTTAAACTAAGTTAAACACACATGGATGATCTTTTCATGGAGGGAAACCATGATATCTTTAGAATGGCCCTTTGTTATCATTATATATGGGTTTAGAAATACTAATGTGATTGTTAATAAAGCAGCTGACAATCTTAATGGTTTACTAGAAATTTTCCCCAGTGAATTCTCTTGCAATAATGAGTATAATAGTCGCGGTTCATTGCTAGCTCACGTTCTCTTCCCTTTTTTTAATTACACCTAATTAAAAGCTTACTGGCAGTCTCACTAAGTCAGAAAAGGACTATATTGGCCCAAGAAATGGCTTTAAAAGATTGATTTTGAGTGTATGCATTTTTCATAAAGCATAAGCATATGTCTATATTTAAATAACCCATGTAGAGCATTCAGTGGGCATCTAAGGACTGTTTTTTACCTGCAATGAACTGGTTTGCAAAAGGGAATGGGAATAAAAGAGGCAACTGAAATGCCTCTTGGCAATGGAACTAGCTCATGCCCTGCTTTGGTGTGTGGTTGTGCCAGTGCAAACTGCTCTAGAGATGGTTCATCTAATCCCTCAGGAGCTTCTCCTGTGCAAGTGCCCCTCTATCACTGTGATGGAAGGTGTGACTAGCAGGGAGGCACAATCACATGGAAATTAGAGTAGCACCTAGGACTGGCTCTCTTAGGCTGGGGGGATAAACAGCCTATGTGTGCCACCAGTTACCTTTTTTGAAGTTGCCCCAGGTTGCTTTTGGTTGTGCATAAGTTCCTGTGTCTTATTATTTTTATTTCTTTTAAACATCTATGTAATCCTGTTGTATATCAAACAAGATGCCAGGATAAAGTGTTACTTTATTTTCTTCTTTCCAAATGCTAACATGTTCCCAGAAAATGGTTAAATTCTTTAAAAGTAGGCTTGCTTTTGTATTAGAAAGAGCCCTGTTAAAAGCTCACAACGTTTTCATCATGAGCAGATGAGATTGTATATTAGCCTTACCTTTCTCTAATCTGCTCTAGCATTGTTTCTTCTGCTGTGCTTTAAACCCACATTACTGGTATACAGCAAGATGTTTCAAGTAATCTTTCAAAACAGACTTACGAGTACTCAGAATTTAGTTAGTTCTAGGTTCCAACATCATAATTTTTTTCCAATGGCCAACATCATAAGTTTTTGGTATTACAATACTGTCAAGATGAAAACATAAGAGGAGGGTAGGTTGGGGAGCTTTTTTTCCAGAGCCATCAAAGTTTGAGAGAGGCAACCATCATCATTTTTCTTACAAGGGAAGCTTATGTATAATTCATTAATCCCCCTGTGATTAAACATGTCTCCTATAGACCTCAGCTGCCTGTAATGTCACTTAGACTCTATTAACCTTTTCTCATCTCCATCTTTCAGCCACTGATGCCTGACCTTCATTATTACTACATAGTTGAATTGTCATTCTACTGGTCCTTAATGTTTTCTCAATTCATTGACATCAAAAGAAAGGTAAGAACAATGAGACTAAAAACACTGAAAGCTTTAAGCACATATCTTTCTTGACTGAGGGAGTACCTGTACTACCTGTGCAGTGAGCTGGAAATAGAGTTCTTTCTAGTCACTGCCTCTTGCAGATATTCGTCACTGAGAAACTGCTTTTGAAGTGCTTGTCTTCCTCTGTTCCTTGTAACTATGATGTGGGTTTTTTCTGCACATGGGAAGAAGAGCCTGGAGTAATCAAACATTCAAGGGGGAATAGCATCAGCTGAAAAAGACTTCTGCTCTCATATAGTGACCTAAATGGAATTGAACACGCAGTAGCTAGTAGATGTACTGTTTCTTCTAAGAGTTAAGTGATAAAATATCAATGACAGAGCAAGACTGTCTCATAAATTCACAGTATCACTTTGGTAAGATCTATGAGGGCTTTCAATTTATTCTGCAAAGGGATGGTAAAAACGGATACATTTAATACCAGAAAGTGACGTTTCATTTAATCTTACCTTTACGGCTATGAAATTTCAACTAGCTGAGCATTGCTGTTAAGGGGCTATTGATCAAGAAAATAAAACTCTGGCCAGATAAAAGCATTTTTCCAGTATCAGTAGCAACCTGTTCCATATTCCTTCATCCAAATTCTCCAAGAAGAGGGCTAGTGCATAGCAGAACAAGCAGCACAGCAGTCATTTTATAACAGTCCATTGAGCAGGGTTTTTTAGTGTTGCAAAATTACTTGTTTAAAATGTTTGGAAGAATTTTATAATATTTTTATGTGCCTCCTTCTACTGTCATTTAATTAAATGATTGTAGGCTATGCTAATGGAAAAATCCCCATTTACTAGAATTTTGGCAGGAGCATAACTCTGGAAAGAGTAGATGAAGGATCCAGTATGTCCTGAATATATTTATCTGCTATTTCAAACCACAGTGGGCTCCTGGGAGGCTTGTGTCAGAGCTACATATACAGGAAAACACCCCTCTACTTGAATTTCCAAATTTTTCCAGAAATAGAAGTCTGAAGAAAACATCCACAAATTCTAAATCCAGATTGGAGAGTAAATTGTAAACAAAACAAACAATTTAGGATGAATACATGTAAACCCCTTGCTTGCATTGTCTGTAAATGCTAAACGTTCTGTTAATTGTGAGCTTGAAATGAGTACAACTTCACTGTTTCAAAAAACAGAGATGCAGAAAAACAGTGTTTGATGGAGCTGTATGATAGTGGAGATGAATTTAAATCAAGAGTAATATTGACAAATATACGTAAGCTGCAGGTCCCAGCAATACTGAGTAGCCATTTATCAATATATCCACCCAAATTAAACCTCTGCAGCAGTGTTACAGAATTGTTCAGGTTATTGCTGCAGAAATGTATTGTGTCTGATCAGTCCTCCTACATTCACATTCAGCCCTCTGCACTGTGCCACTTGTTACATTTTCTTTTCTTTGTGTACCTCTTGATGGAGAGGAAAATGTAACAGCATTGCCTTTGCAACAGTACTGCAATTTTGCAGTACAATACATCTTTAAAGAATATTGAATTGATTCCTGACTAGTTGCTTTGCTTGTGTAAAGAGTAATTGGAGGCTACCTGAACAGCATCTAGGCTTAGCGCTGAAGTACACTTCTGAAAAGAACCATTGGGAGGGTCAGTAACACCTTTCTCATTTAATACATCTCATGACCAAATGCTTTTTTCCTCATGACTTGGAGAGTTTGTTCCCATTGGTGAGCTGAGCACAGAGATAAAGCCTGACACTGTCCATAGTACAGGTGCAAGTAAACAATCTTACAAGTCTGTTTCTCAGTTGTATATAAATGACTTGTACTTGTTATCAGGAAGACTTTGTAGCAGCCTACTGTGGAAGTAGAATGGGAGATGGAGGTGGGGAAGTGGACCACTAACAGCTAAGTAACACCCCTGCTGCAGATTTGCAGTGCTTGAACCCAGAGCACCAGATCAAAGCAGTGTCACATGCATCTCTGTGTCTGAGAACATCCAGTGTCCAGCAGAGAGCACGAGCGAAATATCTGCAGTGCAATGATAGCAAGTCAAAAGCCTTTCATTATAAGCACCCAGCAGGAGACAGAGGGAATGCCATATTTATAAATAACCTGTAAGATCGCTGACCAGTTTGGACTGTGGAGATGGTTCTTTTTGTAGTGTAAGCAAAGTTGATAACCAGGAAGGTGAGACTGGAGAAATGCGGCCATGCACCGGTACCACACAGTAAAACTGTTCTGTGGCCAGGGGCAAGTGCAAGCTGTCAAGGAAACCCATGAGCTGACAAATGTTAGCACTGGGAGCTTAACAGTTGTTGACAAAAAGTAGTACGAGCTTGACAGAGACACCAGCTCATGCACCACCATAACAGTTCTCTTTAAAAGAGCAGGTTTATTTTAAAAAATGTGGAAACCTCGTAATGTACCCAATATGCAATATGTGAAACAGTGCCCATATAAGTCTCTGTTTAACAGGAAGAAGCAGGAAATTTGTCAGCTAATACCAGATGCTATTGTAATACTTCATGGCAGCTTACACAGAGCAGATTGACAGTTCTCAGCCTGAGAAACCTGTTGATGTTTTCGTGTTACAGTGAGAGGAATACTTTTATCTAAGTCTTTGTTATCATTTTACTTAGTTTAAATTCAGCAGTGGCTGTGTTGTAGTCTGGGATGATCAAAAGTGCCCTGGCAGCCTTGTGCACTGCAGGAATTCAGCCAACTTGCTTTTATGTAGCTGGGTTTCTCTCAAGGTGAGGTGCGGTAGGTCTTTTCTGAAAGCACCAGCACTCAGCACTGGCCTAACTCCAGCACTGGTCTTTTACTTGCTGTAGCTCAAGAGAAGTGTACTTGCTGTTTTCCATCTCCGTTTTATTCTTTTCTAATAGCAAATTCATGACTTTAAAATTACTTCCAGTTGGAAAGTTGCTGACTTTCAAATACCTGTTTATATTTAGATGTTGTAAATTCCACCAGATTACTTTTGCCTGGCTGAAGAGGTGTGACCAAACAATTTAGGCTGTTGCACAGACCTACTATTGGCATTATGGCAGCAAACAGAGTAGATTTAACTTCTACGGTTTTATAACTGCATGTTGTTTGCTTCATAAATATCTACTATGTTGCTGTAATGATGTTCCACCCTTAAGGGTTTTCATTTTCAAAGACTGCAGGCTAGCATGATTTGGTTTTTGATCAGCTCTCTGTCCAGCTTCCCATACTCCTCTTTTATAAAACACAGAGGAAAAAAAAAATAAAATAGATCGGAGAACTTTGTTACTCTCAAAAGCCCCTGATGAGTTTTAAAAGCAGTAAGGCTTATTGACATGCTTTCTGGATACCTGAAGTATTGTTCATAGAAAAACATTTGAACGATTTATTTAAGGGAATGTGTAAAATTTCTACTCAGCCAGTGTTTTAACACTGTGGATCTAGGAGACCTTTCTGTGTATTCATACCTTTTTGCATTTGGCAATTCCTAGAGCTTCTGTGGTTTACTTTTTAAAAAAAAAAATGACAGTTCACTGATTCCCAAAATAAAATAATCTGTATCTGCTAATTTTCTTGAATATTCCATTTTGATTCTAGAAAATTTATGCTATATTTCACTGAATCTGGATCCTGGATCTCTTTCTCAGACTCAGTAACAGAAGAGTCATAGAGCTGATCTCTTTTGTTTCAGAGGAAAGGAATTCAGATTGTGTACATTTTGCAGACCTTTACTAGAATTGTAATGGTTGAAACCTTTAGCTGGTGATACTCCCCTTCCTTGTTGAAGCCCATTTCCAGAAGCTGGAGTGACAAATGAAGACGATGTTTTGCCTTTCAGTGGCACTAATGCTCCATAGCCACTTGGCAGGTTAGTCAGTGAGTGTGTCATGTTAAACAAACGTGGGTAGCAGAAAACTTGATTCCAGAGGGCTTGTCTACAAGTTGAGACCGATGGGGTTTCTCCATTGTCTGCCCTGTGTCCTTCCTACTGATGGTGTCAGGAGTAGGTTCTTTCTCCTGTTCTTAGTCACGTATTTTCATGACACAGGTGCATGATATCTTTCAGCAGTTATAACCAGAGGCTACAAATCTGCTGTGAGTAAATGCATCTTGCACAAACATACATACAGTTTGAATATATTTTAAAAAAGAAAAAGCTCATTCCTCACAGCTCTTCTGCTGTGTATGGGTGAAAGTGCTTGAGTAAGCCAGTACGCAAGTACCACTTGACATTATGGGGACTTGTACCATTAGTTTCTATGTATTCATTACCTTTATGTATAATTAAAATCTAACAGGTAGCATCTTCAAAGCCTAGTAACTAATTACTGACGTAAAGAAATGTCATGAACAGGAAAGAAAGGACCAGAATAACAAATGTAGTCTTATTTATATCTCTGCTACTTTTTTCTAACAATTTTCAGTAGGTCAGTCCAGCATCTCCATTTCAGAGCTGGCAGAGTCAGGTAACTGTCTCTTTTAAGAAACGTTATCAGAGAAGGAGTTCCCTGGACAGCATTTCTGTAAGTAGACTCATGCAGAAGTGCAGAAGACTGCTGCCCAAGAGCGTTAGGGCTGCTTAGGAATAATCCATATTGTCAGGAAAGCCTTGAAGAGTTCCCAAGAGGGACTAGAAGTCTTGTATTTGTAGAACATGAATGTGTCAGCTATAAAAACAGATGAGAATTTTCTACTTGGCTTCTTCCCCTGTTTGGACTGCCTATGTGCTAACATAATTGCAGTTAGAAGAAAAATGAAGAACAGTGCCATAGCATTTGCAGCTGAAGCAGGTAAAGAGCTAGGCTGCAGTATGGCCATATGGCAATGCTAGTACTTAACTTCTAATCCCAGGGAATAAGGTAGGTGCTTTGCTGTTTTGATTATGGTATGGTGAAATAGTCCCCATGTGTGGGTTTGTAGTTACTGAAATGACTAAGATGCCATACGCCTGCTTTCCCTTAAGACTCTTAGAAAGGGAAACAGCCTTTAATTCTCTTTTTGTTCAATCTGCTTTAAGAAAATGGATTTAAAGCAATGGCTTGAGATGACTGCTGAATGTATTTGTGCTCCACACTGCCGGGGACCAAGTAACCTGGCTGAGAAATGTTGGGTTTATACCAAACTAGGATACAGTTCTCTGCTTTTAGGGGTTTTTTTAATTTATTTTCTTCCCCCCACCCCTCCCCAGCTTTGTGTTGGAGATACTAGCAATGCCCATTGATGAGTATGTGTAGGAAGTAGCACCTTGTAGCACATTGTAGCATTAAACATAAAGTGATATGCTGGGAAGAGGTCCTGTCCCAATTCAGTTAGTGAGGCTGCTCAAGCTGCAGGTTTTTCCACGGACTCCAGGTTTACATTGCAGTGAAGCGGAATTCTGATACTGAGAGGCAGTTGCACTGCACATCTTTGAAAGCAGTGGTGCCTCCTACGTGCCTGCTGCATTCCCAAAGAGAAGTACAATGACATGGGGCAGTTAACTCTTCCCAGTATTGGAGAGACTCAGCAGTTGGCAGCTGTAGCAGCTGCTGTTCTGGAGTTGACCCTGTATTAGTGGGAGCTCACCAGCACGTTCCGTAGGGCCCTCCTGCCTGACACATACACCTTCAGTCCCTTTGCAAACCAAACTCCCCAGTCAAATCACGCCTATGATCTTTTCTTTGGAGGTTTTTATATCACTTTCTCAAAGCTGTGTGGGTAGTTCAGCAAACTCCAGCAAGACTTCTTTTTGACTGACTTGGTGCCTTGCAGAGAAGAGTCTTGATCTCTGCAGGTCCTGTTCTCTCAGTAATCGGCCTGGGAGTCTAGGCCAGGCAGATGGGTCTGCTTTGCCTGCCCCTTGGCATGTATCCGGGAATGTTGATGTTACAGGAGCTTCACCCAGTATTTTTCAATAGTAGCAGTTACTTGCTGGCCAAATAAATCAGTTACTGATCTGGAGACCAGCTAACCTGCATCATTTGGGAGGCAGCAGATGAGATCTGAGTAGGAGGAGCTGCACCAGCTCATTTGAAGAATTTTCTGACTGTTACAGTGTGAAGGCAAAGCAGCTTCATTAAAAACAAACAAATAAAAAGCTGGAACTGGGATTCTCAGCTCTGTGAAAGCTCAGTTGTGCTTGTCAGGTGACTGTCAATAACTCCTAGTGCAGTGGAAATGTGTTTCCTGTTCCTTTGTAGCTATTTGAACTCTTGTGAATGGCACATTATTTTGCATATTATGTTGCTTGGTGTGTGAGAAATATGGTGTAACTTGACTTGTAACCACATATGCCTTTTCGAAGTAACTTCAGCTGCAAATGTTTACTTCATTAGGTTAAGTTACTGTGAACTGAGAAATGTAGATATTGCCTAGCTTTCAATAATCTTTTTGCATTTTGTTAACATACAATGATTATTTTATTCAAAGTGAAATATCTAGCGGGGTATGTAATGCACTTATGTGGCAGGATCTTTATGTAACATAACCATAATGCTGGGTTTAAAAAACATCCATCCATTTTTGTATATGAGTACTGAATCTCACTGTTTGGTTCATTGTTTTGTTTTTTTTTTTCCCCTGCTTCTTGCTGCTCTAGGATTTTGGCATCATGTTTACACATCACATTGTAACAGTCACCCTGATAACCTTCTCATATGTAACCAATTTGACACGAGTGGGAACCTTGACCTTATGTCTCCATGATGCGGCTGATGTTGTCCTAGAGGTGAGATAATACATGTATCATCAGTGTCTGTACATGGTATTCAATATTCTGAGAGCTAGAATGTCAATAGGTGGAATCTATTTGCTGTTCAAAACAAGCATTTGTTAAGCAAAGAGGCTAGTTCAAGATAGTAATGGTGATTAATACAGTGTATTTCCTTGCTGAAATATATCACACTTGTAGCAGTGCATGTTTGTGACTTTAGACTGTTTTATCCCTTGATAAGTTGCTTGTACAGAGCAGAAACTTGTAATGCATTGCATGCCAGGGAGGTTTACACACAGATTTTAAATGTAACATGGTAAGGTATAGTTAAAAGCTCGAAGTTGCAAAATCTGGAAAGTCCTGACTGTGGGGAATGAATAGAAGCTCCTTGTTCTTGAACCCTCTGAAGTGATGTGTGGGGCAAGAACCCTGTTTCCAAAAGAATCAAGGTGTCATGGTTTGATTCTGCTGTGCTTTTCTGTGCAGAGGGTGCTGGACAACTTCGTAGCTGTTGTGTGCACTGGCAGTGAGCTGACCTCTCGCCCCCAGCATTTTCCAGGTTCCTGTGCCTCCTCATCCAGATGCCAGTATTAAACAGTTGGCTTTGGAGAAGGAGGGATGATTGAAATTCTTTTAAATCAAGATGGTCTATAACTTCCATAGAGGCAATTTAGAGATGTTGTCATCCTGTATCTGTATCAGGTTTTAGACAGCTCTGGATGATGGTGGGATCAGGCTGTCTGTGAACTCTCCATCAGGATCAAACCAAAGTTAATAGCTATTTTGTCTGAAATTATTTTTTACTAAAGTAGTTGCGGGGATCCTGTTATGCAAGAATATAGCCTCACTGCGTGAGTCACCTATTGCAGAATCAAAATCCTCCCATTCTGATTCGATAGTGCTGTAAATCTGTTTCTATTTTTTAATCTTGTTTTAATCTAGAAGGCACATGACTGCCTGAGATAGAAAGCAACAGAGAATCTGGATTTCTTCTGTTAGAAATAATTAAATCTTTACAAGTTTATTTTTCTGTTTTAGCAATATGTGTAGATCTATTCTGCTAGCTGTGGGTGCACCCAAACTATCTTCATTCCTCTTTTCTACCACCAGACAGATGTACTTGACAGTATTAATTCCAGATCACACCAGTGCCTGGGGAACTATAAAACCTCTGGAGAGCAGCTGTAGCAGACTAGCTAAAACCTTACCTTGAACACAGTGAGATACATATTTTTTTCTCAATTCCTCTGTTCATTCACTGGCTAGGACAAAGAGAAATTGCTGGTATTCTCATATGATTTGCAGATATTCAGCAAAGACACTTCGCCATGAGACACATACTTCAGCGGTCTTTCTAGTCAATTTGTTCAGTCTGTTCTGACTGGAAATACTAAAGCCAGTCTAAAGTGTAAGAGAATCACAACTCCTGAGAAGCATTTACTAGGAGGGCCATTACGACTCACTCAACAGACTTTCTTCTGCTAGGGCAGTGGGTCACAGCCCCGGTGCCGTATGAGAGAAGATGGACTCCTACACACTGCTGACATTACTGAGGGGAAAGTCAGTGCAGAGGAAGAAAATTATCAAACTGCAAAAGAAGCTGGTAAAATATCTTGCCATGATGGGTCAGCTGTGCACCTGACCTGTTTTACATATTATATATCTGTAAAAATGAAAAGTAATTTCCAGAGGTCACTAGACTCTTCCCACCTACCATTTCATAATGAAACATGTCCAGTGGAAAGCTGGAATGCAACATTTCTGCCATTCTCATTGCGGAGTATAGTATATATTGGTAGGAATACTGGAGGTGAAGGTTTTTTCCATAGGTCTTAAGGCATCTGCAGGTACAGAGGAGTCATAGCAGGATTTTCAGGAAATATGTAGCTGTTCTCTTAGGTCTGAGTGAAAGTTATCTTGGATACTCAAAGCAGCCCAGCCATGGCAGGACAGACCAAATGTAGAGTCAGTTGCTTGCCTGGGAAGCCATTACATTAGCTTAAGCTGAAATCTATGCTACTGAGACACAACTTTCAGAATCCCAGCTAAGTTGTTTTAAGGAGTCTTGGGTATCATTGCACTGCAGTACAGCTTGTGGGTTGGAAACACTGTAACCTAACCTGCTGAAGTACTTAAAATCCCACATATTTGAGGACCTTGAGACTTTTCAGCTTCAATTAATGAACACTGTGACAATTTTGATGCCAGTGTATGGATGTGAGTAGTTGCCAATTTGGTATGCTTCTGGTGCATGAGCCTCACGTAGCTGACAGTTCAACCTGAATCCTTTCTGTCAGGTTCCCGCTATCTCCTAACACAGTTTTCTAAAAGAGCAGGGAATGGACACTTCAGACCAAGGCAAATAGCTGTGCTGTAAATTAAATGGATTTAAATAGACTAGCAAGAGTATCTGGAGGTGGTCATGGTTTTTAAGCTTTGAAAATTGTGTTGTATTGTCTTAGGTGGCCCGATTCCATCCAA